TAATGTCAAAAAGTTATTAGCCATTTGCATATTTGAAATATAATCACAAGCACTAGAAAAAAAATGAGTGACTGTTACGCATAAAAAATAGCATTTTGTAAGCAAAATAAGTCAATATGAAACTCAAACAGTTTATTTTATTTAAATTATTATTTTTTATACGAAAATGTTATATTTTTGCTAGAGCTGTAAATTGATCCCGTAAACTAAAGCTAAGACATTTGCGCCAAGGCTTATATGTACATATATAAACAGACCTTAGCAAGAAGCAAGAGCTTTAGCTCTCTCTCTCACCCACACTACCCTAAAATGGTTTACAGGAGCAATTTATGGCTCTCACAAAAGTATAATTATAAATATCATTGTAACTAAAATAATAAACACAGGCATTTTAAAAATAACTTTTAATATTTCTTAAAATGCTTGCATTCTATTACAATAAGAAAATATAAAACTTTTTTTATAAGCAGTAAAAACAACACTCCTCTAAAGAATTATTTCCTGCTGCAATAAATGACACTTGTTATGTATATATTCTTGTAATACTAATGTAACAAAACATGCTTAACATGGCGCGACAAATCTACTAACAGGCAAACTTTGTTAAAAAAAGACAGAAAAATGAACGTCATGTTTCCATAATTTTGCATATGTAAACATTGGTGTTTCCTTAAAATTGTTAAAAACACACACATTACTTTAGCAATTTTTTTCCCAAATAATTATACAATTGTTATTTTTTTATTTATTATAAAAACACATATTTATAATAAAAAACAGTTACTAAAACTTAAAACACATTTTAAAGACTTTAAAAGAAACTTTTAAAATATTTGAAAATAATTTTTAATTTTAGCTGAAATATATATAATCTAATAGAATATATTAATAGAATTAATATGTTTATTATAGTTTCTGTGTTTTATTGTGCCTTTAACAATGTCAATAATATGATATTTTTTTAACTTATTGTAAAATACTTAATAAGATATTATTTTTAAAAATTTTAAAAAAGAAATGTCACACAACTTTTATTTTATTTTTAGCTCCTTTTATTTTAATTTCTTCAAGTTTATACATTTTTTTATTTGTAAGTAAATTTAGCGAACTTAATTGAGAAAAAATAATTAGTATCAATTAACAAATTAACAGATAACAAATTACAATCGTTAGGTCATTAATTTGCATGCACTTTGCCAATGTGTAAAAAATTGTTTTGAAGAAATAAAAATTGATTAAATTCAATAAGCATCTTTGATATATCTAATAAATTGTTAACTATAATAAGAATCATTTGAAAATAAAACTTCCTTATATGACATGTATCTCTTAAATTAGACATTAGTCATTAAATAAAGATACAAACGCCAATGTTCATTAAAAAAAACAACTTGTTGCGACCTGGGCTTGTAACAAGTATAAAACCAATGAGTAAACAGATAGCTTGCACAAAAACCAAAAGCTCTCCTAAAAAGCTGTTTAAAGGAGCAGCTTGCATGGCTCACCATGTTCATTTTAGGAGAGCTATTCATAACTCTCACACTTATTTACTCCCATCAAAACTTGTATATATATATATATATATATATATATATATATATATATATATATATATATATATATATATATATATATATATATATATATATATATATATATATATATATATATATATATATATATATATATATATATATATATATAATTATATTATATTCTATTCTAGACCATTTTCCACAGTGTCGACCGTATTTGTGTGCCAATTTGGGTGTCGCCAAATTTAAAAAAAAAAAATTAAAATTTTTTGAGGACCTTCTTTTTTATTTACGTTTTTTACAGCAAACATTGTTATTTTTGCGAATAAACCGCCTATTTTCCAATAAAGTTTGCCAGAACGAGTGAGTTTCCAATAAAGTTTACCGAACGAGTGAGTATATATATATATATATATATATATATATATATATATATATATATATATATATATATATATATATACACAGCAGTCTTTTCCCAGTTGCTCTGCGGGCAACTGAAAAAGTTTTTATTTCTCAAGTATTATCCACTATGATAATAAGTATTATTATATGATAATAAGTAACTATGATAATACGTAACTATGATAATAAGTAACTATGATAATATGTAACTATGATAATAAGTAACTATGATAATATGTAACTATGATAATAAGTAATTATGATAATAAGAGTTATCCACTATGATAATAAGTAGTCCGGTGTAAAAGTTTTTTTTTGCATTTTTTCTCGGATGAAAACAATGATTTTTTTAAAATTTTAGTTTATGCAAAGCTGTGTTACTTTGTTTTTATGGAGCAAATTATTATAAGTTTGGTATGGAAAAAGCTGTAAAAAACAAAACAAAAAACCTACAACTGCAAAAGTAACAACACTAACTGCATTATAAAAGTAATAAAACTATAATAGTGTTACTACTTTTATAAAGCATTTATAACTTTTAAAGTTCATTCTTTGTTCAAACAACATTAGTAATTCCAAACTTTAATAAAGTAGATAAGTATCTAGAAAATATAAAGTGGATATTAAAATATTATTAAAAACTTAAGGAACTTTTACAAATAATTAAACAACTTTACAAAACTTAACTTATAACTTTATAAAAAATTAAACAACTTATAAAACCGTACTGTAGAAAAAGTTTTTATACAGTATAGTTTTATAAAGTTGTTTAAGCTCCTTAATAATTTTTAAATATTATTTGAATATTCACTCTATTTTTCTAGATGCTTTTCTACTTCAATCTCCCAAAAAAAAAAAAAAATTAAAATATAGTTTTATTAACAAACACACTCTTATAAGTAAGAAACTGTCTGGTTATCTTGCTGTGCTACTGACAGACATTATTTTAAAACTTTAGTTGCCCTTGTAAAAAACGATTCGTCCCAGGCCACTGGATGACCATGAGGGTACACCACTGATATATCAGGCTTGGTCGGGAAGTGGGTGCAATAGCACTCAATAACTGACCATGGAAATAATATTTAGTTGCAAAAAACCGGCCAGATTTTTTAGTTACTTTGAGAACATTTAAATTTATGTATGTTTCCTTAATTAAGTTCATTATTTTATCATAAATTTTAAAATATTTTGTTTTACGGACATACATGGAAACATACATAAACTTGAATGTTCTCAAACATCTTAGTGCAGAAAAATAAAAAAAGAATATTTGCAAACACAAAAAACCCGCCAAAACTACGAACAACTAATTCTATTAGTTCAAAAAATACTACCTGAAATTTCTAGATTATTCTGTTGAAATATTTAAAAAAATTGTATTATTTGAGTTTTGCTATGTTTTCGTTGAGATTTCTGTATAAATTGTTTTAAGAATTGTTTTAAGAATATCAAACGAACTATTATTTTAAGTCTCAGAGCCACGCCTACAAAGCTATAAATGTTTTAAACTAACATTATTTGTTTACAAAAATAAATGTTTTAAATTTATCTTTTTTAACTTGTCAACATTTTGTAAATATATTATAGATTTGATTAGTATATTCTTATTTTTTATGTAAGGGCTGTATTTTTATGTATGTAATGTATTTTTTATGTAATGCATTTTTATGTATGTTTTTTTTGTGCATGTAATTTTTTGTATGTGTATTTTATTCAAATGTAATCTTTTATTATATATCTGTGCGATTGATTTTGTAAACAAAAATACTTTCAATAATAACTGTGTTTTTAATGAAATTATTAATAATCATCTAAGTTAATACAAATAATTTTAACCACTAATCCATTTTCCTCAGTGTACCCAATAACTGATTTTTCCCCCCAAGAAAGAAAAGTTTTTAAGTTCTTAAAAATTGGTTTACTAACTTCAATTTTTGCTTCAGCCATTCTTACAAACTTGTTATACTTAAACTTAAAATTAAAATTATAAAACCCACTCAATAAACATCATCAGCGTTATTGTGAAGCAGTTCCGCTTCCTCCTCACTTAGTAATATAACATTTTTAGTTAATTTCTATTTAGCTAATTGAATTTCTATAGTAACTCAGTAATTTAATTATTTCATTAATAGTAAGTTGTTACTTTATACAAAAAATATCACTTAATTTTATAAAAGAAATTATAAAAGAGTGACGTTTCAAAAATATTTGCTCTAATCGTATTTATTTTGCTTAAAGTTTTACGCGTTAAAAGCTATTTTTCTTTTTTTAACTGTCTCTCATCGATCAAGTTAATCTTATTGCGCTTTTTTGTTTGTTTTTGAAATGTTCAGGCTCTAAACATTAAAAAATATAGGTTTTTTCTGTATAGTTTCAATTGTATATAATTTTTCAAACGAACAAACTATATTTGTATTTCACCTGATGATTGCAACAGCATGAAACTTAAAGTTGTGAAAATCACGTAGTTTTATTTTCTACTATATATACATTATAGCTCTGACTTTATCGAGCACTTTCTTGATAGTATATGCACAAAATAGCATCACTACATATATATATATATATATATATATATATATATATATATATATATATATATATATATATATATATATATATATATATATATATATATATATATATATATATATATATATATATATATATATATATATATATATTAACCTTCAGAATTAAGGTCGGCATTCGGCAATGCTGATCTAACTGCTGACCTGAAAGTGCTTGTGCTCAAAAAGATTAAGATCAAAAAGCTTTGGTGCTAAAAAGAGATCGGCAATAATTTTTACAATCTAATATATAATATACAATCAATATATATATATATATATATATATATATATATATATATATATATATATATATATATATATATATATATATATATATATATATATATATATATATATATATATATAACTTGAGTTTAATATAAATAATAAAAAAAACCTTTTTATTATTTATATTAAATTTCAATTTTTATTTATTTTTGTTTCAAATTATATTTATTTGTTGCTATATGTATAAAAAAATACTCACAGCAAGCTGAAAAATTAGTCTATAATGCCATATTTTCAATGGTGATGAAACTGACCTTTCCAAAGTACTTCTTAGAAGTGACTTAGCTAATGTACTTTGATTCTATAAACCAAACATTCAAAAAATTAATCAATTCTCAATAACTAAATTTGTTTAAATGCATATGCAAGTATACTATAAGGAGGATGACCATTTGGGTACAATGAATTTCATATGTTTTTGAAAAAAATAAAATTAAAGCTTAGGAAAAGGTGTATTCTTAAGTAAAATTAAATTTTAAGGTAGGTTTGCTATGGTAAACTTTTTGATTAGAAAACGTTTTGATACCCAAATTTTTATATTTAGACATTATTAAAATGAAATATAATTAAATTATTATAAATTAAATTTAATCTGGTTTTATGTTTAGTTTCTCATACTAAGCGCAGTGCCAAATCAATTTTTAAAGAAATTTTTAGCTCTCCACCGTAAAAAACATCAAAACAAGATCGTAGTCTGTAAATATTTTATTCGTTATATCATCGAGTTATTCATAAATGTCGAAAGTTAAAACTAGATATTCATCCACCACTAGAATTTCTGAGTTTATTGGACCTGGAAAAGATTTTATTCCTAGTGAGCTGACTACAAACAGAGCAGTTATTCAAAAAGGAATTTTATTAAAAGAAAAAAAAGCATAACATGCAATTTACACCAAAATAAATATTCTAACAAAGATCTTGCTAGCGATCTAATTCCACTTGTTCTTGCTCAATGGAAAAAAGCAAATATTTTATTTCAACAATCAGTTATTATTGGGGAGAAATCGCTTTATTATAGAATAAAAACACTTTGGGAGAAAGTAGAAAACGTTGCATAGGGAAGAACTAATGTAAAAGTAAAAGAAGAGCTTATATTGAAGTTAGATAAACTAATGGATTTCATAACATGTCCTCACACAATACTTCTATGCGAGCATGATCTGTCTGGGTTTTCTTCCCCCAAAAATTGTAAAAATAAAGCACATATGAATTGCACCTGTATTTATTCTAAAAAATTTCCGACTATGAAGCTCAGGTGGTTATACAGTCAAAGAAATAAGACAGAGGAAAAGTCTGACATGCAGATGGGACATGCTGATAAGATTGAGACAATGAAACTAAGAAAAAAGTATAAGGGAAAAGTCAGCGATGAAGAAGCTTACGAGAAAAGAATTTAAAAAAATAGGAGGAAAAAGCATTCTTCGAGGTAAATATAATTTCTTAATAATAAATATTTTCTTTTTTCATATAATAATAATAATAATAACAATAATATATATATATATATATATATATATATATATATATATATATATATATATATATATATATATATATGTATGTGTATATATATATATATATATATATATATATATATATATATATATATATATATATATATATATATATATATATAATGTATAATATATATATACATATATATATACAAACATATATATATATATATATATATATATATATATATATATATATATATATATATATATATATATATATATATATATATATATACATAAATATATATATCAGGCTTTCCCAGGAAAGGCGTGCGGTTGCACACTTTGTTTGTCCACGCATAGAATAAATTTTTCTGACTAACTGACCACGTTTTATTATTATGCATTTCAAGAATTCGCGCCAAAACAAAGCTAAACAAAAATACCGCAAAAATGCAAGCAATCTTAAAGTAAATAAAAGAAATCTGTTTGTGCTTTCAAATTTAAAAATTAACGTATATTATTAAAAAAAAAATTTACCTATATTATTTTTTTTTTGTTGTTTTTTGTTTTTTAGGGCGGTATTATTTTAGCTATGAAAAATCAAATCAATAAAAAAAATCAAATCAATAAGAAAAATCAAATCAAAAAGAAAAAAATTATTGTTTAATGAAAATAAAAGTACCTTTTAATGTAAAATTTGTTTATGACCTTTATCAGTCAGTAATACTTTAAAATTCATGATTGAACTTTAATCAATTTTTAAATGTTTCGTAAATACATTTAAATGTTTAAATGTATTGATACACAAGAAAGAGCGAAAACGATTGCTATTTATTTGTAAAACATGTGTTTTTTCAATTTTCAAATGAAAGAAAATTTTATTGTCAAACGATTGGGTTGCTTATTTTGCAATCATTAATTGACATTGTGAACGAGTGTAAATATATAATAATGTCCCGAAGGAACTGTTTTCGTAACAATGACAACAGAAGCAATGCAATTATTTTTTTTAACTTCTTTCATAATTACAAAATTATGCAATTGAATAATTTCAACGTAATGAAAGGCGAGCATTGACTCAGTATAATCAGTTTAGAATAAGTCGAGAGAGAACATTTTTCACATTAAAATTTTGTTATCTTTAAAATCTCAAATAACATATTTAATAATTAAAACAGCAATTTATTTTCTTGTCTAAGTATTGGGGAATAACGTCATAGCCTTTGCATAAACCTTCGTAAAAACTAAATTAAATGAAAAAATTTAATCAAATTTGTCTAGCGTAAATAATGAATCAGTTTTTTAATACATTGTCTGTTTAGACTTCATTTCTATTTTTTAATATTATTTTTTATTCTCTGTGGAAAATAGCAACCCTTAAAAAAAGAAAAAAAAAACAGTATGAAAATTTTGAAAAAAATGTTCAGGACTTTTTTTTTTTTGTTAGAAGATTTTTTTTTTTTTTTAATTTTTTTTATTATCAAAATATTTTTCTTACATCCAATTTCAATTTTATACTTTGTTTAGACTTCATTTCTATTTTTTAATATTATTTTTTATTCTCTGTGGATAAGTTCCGCTTTCCCACGAAATGTTGCCGCGGTCACGTTTTCTAAAAATTTATTCTATGCATGGACAAACAAGGCGTGCGACCGCATGCCTTTCCTGGGAAAGCCTGATATATATATATGTATATATATATATATATATATATATATATATATATATATATATATATATATATATATATATATATATATATAGGTTTTAATTTGGTTTTAGGTCACAGAAGAAGAAGATATAGAATTAGATAAAGAACATCAAAAAAATATTTTTCCTGGCTTTCTTGATGAAAACTATAATCCAGATAATGTTAACTTTAAAACAAGAAAATGAAATTAAGATGTTGGTTGAAAGGCTGCTAAAGGCAAAGTTAGGTGTCTATGCTTTTCTTGTAACACGGTTTTTAGAAAAGAAGTCAAGATATAACACAATACCAATAAAAAACACAGCTATGGCTAGTATAAGGTAATTATATTGACTATTGTTTTGTTGAGCAGCAACATGAGTTAATAGAAATAAATATAAACCATTCTTATTTTATAGATTTGGGACTTCACCTGCCGCAACTGCAGCAATTGCTAAAAGTTATCTTCAAGATTTAATTGAAGCAGGATTTCTCACCCCTGAGTCCTCTTACCTTGCTTGTGATCCTTCTAAGTTGACGAGAGAGAGAAAAAAGGTGATGGTAGTTGCGAAGAAAAATGATAATTTAAAACTTCCAAACGCAGATAATATTGCCATTTACTTTGACGGAAGGAAAGATTCAACAAGAGCAATGATAAATGATTCAAATGGACAGCTACATCCTATTATTATCAAAGAGCAGCACATTACTGCGACTATAGAACCTGGTAGTCGATATCTTGTCCATTTTACCCCAAATGTACCTAATGATCTAGATAAGCCAGCTAAAAAGATTGCTGAAGGTGTTAATAATTTGCTGCAACAACATAATCTTACTGAATCATGTTTAGTACTTGGAGCTGACAGTACTTTAATTAACACAGGCTGGAAAGGTGGTGCTATAACGCATCTTGAAAAGCTGTTAGGTCACAAGTGCCACTGGGCCATATGCATGCTTCATTCGAATGAACTATTTTTGCGTCACCTTATAGAAGGCATTGATGGAACAACATCATGTAGTACTAGATTTGTAGGTCCTGTGGGAAAATTTCTTCCTGATGTTAATAAAATGGAGTATAATCCTCAATTTAAAGCTCTTCCAAATGGATAGAGCTTTGTCGACATTCCAGAAACAATATTAAAAAATATGTCAACAGATCATAAACAATGTTACAAGCTATGTAAAGCAGTTAAGATTGGTTTATTGCCACCTAAGTTTAGAAAAATTCAATGTGACCCCTTAAGTCATGCCAGATGGCTCCCTACTGGCATGAGAATAGTCTTTATGTGGACAAGGAAACACGACTTAAATGATCAAAATTTGAAAAATCTAGAGTTACTTGTTGTATTTTGTTTACATATTTACTTTAAACTTTTTTTTGACATAAAGGTCAAAGACAGACTTGAAGATGCTTCCTATCACATTCTGTCTCAATTGAGAATTCTTAGAATGCAACCTGATAGAGTAAAAGAAATTGTGACTCCCTACATCCAATTTGGAGCTTGGTATGCGAACCATGAAAGTATACTAATCTCTTAATTATCTAGTATAATGCAGAAGATCGCAATTTTGCAGTTGATCGAATTTTGAAACTAAGGGGTAATGATATCCTTGGAGATATGCGAGTCAGACCAAGAAAAACACCTAAACTTAACTTTGCAGCAACTACTCTTCAAGAGCTAGTTAAATGGGAAAATGGTGTTGAACAAGAACCTGTTTTTACTTGTTCGCTCACCAGAGATAAGTTGTTATTACTAAGATTGATACCTTTAATAACTCCTTCAATTAAAATTCATACTTAAAGTACTGAGCGTGCTGTAAAACAAGTGACAGTAGCATCCATGTCAGTAGTTGGACCATATGCAAGAGATGGGTATATTAGAGCTAGAGCTCAGCATAGAGAGTTGCTACCTGTTTTTAAAACAAAGAAAGAAATTTTATTAAATTTTTAACTTCAATAGATTTTTATTTTATTTGTTTTTTAATAGTGTTTTAGTAGTTCTATCAAAATATTGTTGGGGTAAGATAGGGGGATAAACCACCTGTTTTTTGGTGAAAGTATAATGAACTGTTATGATCAAATTTTTTAATCATTAGAGCCTCATAAAAAATTGAAGATCCCCTCCTCCTCCCTCTAAAAAATGCAGAATCTGCACTGCAGATAGGATCCATGCAAGATAATGATTTTAAAAGTATCAAAAAAACTTTCAATAATCTAAAAATATTATTTGCATTTAATATTTTATCGCAATGAAAAAGAAAATGTAAAATACAATGAAGGACATGTGACAAATTAGATTTAACTAGTTTTTACAATTTCTAAAAGTCCATATTTGGGTATTAAAACTTTTTCCGATCAAAATTTTTTTATAGGAAACCCTCTTTAAAATTTGATTTTACATAAAAATACACCTTTTCCTAAGCTTTAAAAAAAAAAAAAATTTCGCTGTACCCTAATGATCATGACCTTAATCTAAACCCAATATACTATCAGAAGCTGTTAAGACATAATTAAAAATAAAAAAGGGAACTTAGGCAAAAAAAAAAAAAAAAAAAGATTTTAATAAACACCTGCTCAGCGCATACAAAAGCTAACAAACTAGTACTTTCAAAAAAAATCCTTTCTCCATCAATATCATGTATCTTTAAAAAGTCAAAGAAATTTTGAGCTTTTTTTAAATTGATATAAATATAATAAATATACTAATAATTAAATAATATATTTTAGAAACATGAAAATAAAATAGCAACTTGAAATACAATCAGATTTTAAAAAATTAGAAAAGATACATAAGCTGATAACTGATGCTAAAAGAAAGAAAAAAAGACAAAAAGTAAATAATAAAAACCAAAAAAGTAAATAACACAAAAACATGCGTAAATAATGTAAACCAAAAAAAGGAAACATTCTATAGTGTAATAAAATCTATTAATATAGAATGAAAACATTACATTTTTTATGTTTCTTAAATATTGTATTGTGATACTTCACACTGATCATAACATGTAGACAATAAAATCTTTTAATTCCATCACAAGACAATTTGTACAGATAAATTAAAAATATTTTATCTAAAGTTTTTTATTTAAAGATGTGAATAATGTGTGGAGTAAATAATTATGCATTATTGCATTGTCTTGCATAAATATTCATTAACTATGCAATATCAATGCTAAAAATGACATTAAATGAAATGACAGTCAGACTAAAATACAAACAAAGTTTTTTAAAGTTTTTCTAAAGATTTGACCTCTGAAAATAATTTTCATATGGTAACAAAGTAAAATTTAATATTTTTTTCATTTTGCACAAAAACATGTTTTAGCTTCTAATCAAAAAGGTAGAAATTTTAAACTATAAAGTCAAATAAATTTAAACGATCAAGTCAAATAATGTTAAACAATCAAGTCAAATAACAAATTGTTATTTGAATATTTGTAATTTAAAGCGTGCTATTAAATAAATATATCATTTCAGAAACACTATAATTCATTTATAGAAAAAAACTAGTCAAGCACAATCTTGTATTTTATGAGGGTTTCTGTGAGAAACATGTATCTACCCTCACATTATTCAGACCTTTCAGTCAATGCCTTATAAAGTGTTGAATAAAAGGTCTGACATGTATGCAACTTGTATGTACCCTTATACAAAATGATTCTGTTCTTTATTTTATGTCCAAAATTGACTTATAGTGTTTATGAAATGAACCGTTCAAATATGTTATACTTTTTATTACCCTTTTGTATCATTTTACACTTCTACTTAGACCATTTCTACTCAGGATACCTTGTACTTAGATTACTTTGCCTTACAACTGTGTTTAATTAAGTAAAACTTATGAACTGATACAAAAAAATAAAATAAACTTTTAGAAAACATCTAAGAATTATTGAAGAAAAAACAATTGAAATAGATAAAAACCTATGTATTAAAACAATATAAAATCAATCCATTCAAAAAAAAACTTAAAATTATATTTCTTATAATTATATAACAAAGTTAGAACTTTTAAATGGCAATAAACTATAATATCTCAAAGTTTAAAAAGAAAACCAATAGTTTTAATTAATACAAGAATATTAAAATTGGAACACTGACAACCTTTTTTATAATGTAGTTAAATTGATTCTTTAAGTTAAACTTTAACAAATCTCTCCATAATATAACTTTTTGCAATTTTTAGAGACAAAAGCTGATTATTTATATTATTCACTATTTATTTTAAAAATGAACAATAGTTTCATTTAAACCAATTTAAAGAAGTTTATGGAATTTATTCAATTATGGATAGTATATTAGCATAACCTAATCAAGAGAATAAACGTCTGCTCCAAAATTAGTAAAAACTCTTATTAGTGTGGAAGTTATCAAAAATTTGACTTTAATTAAAGGTTTCAAATATGTTACATTTAAGTAAAAAAAATTCCAAATTTGGAATTTAGCTTATGTTGTTGAATCTATGTGATGTATGTTAAAAAACCACTAAAACAAAAAAATACTTTGCTGCCTAATTGACCTTTCCTAAAAAAATAATTCAATAATATTTATGTATTGCTTAATAGTAATTTTTTTGTATTTAACTGTGTATTCAAATATGATCCGTTATACAATGCATTTATTGGGTTTATTAATGAGCAAAACATTAAAAAATAAATTGTAATAATGATTAATTCTACATTGTCAAAAAAAAAAATTCAAGAAACATTTACAAAAAAAAAAAATTTCGTAAAAATTTTTTCAGAATGAGTGTAAATTGTAATATTTAAAGTTTAGTATGAAAAATGAACACTCAAAGTATATAAAAATTATTAAATAAATAAAATAAATCTTACAGACTCTTCTAAATGCCCCCTTGCATGTCCAATGTTTTTCGTGTGTTCTAGTAATAACTTTGCAAGATTTAATCTAGAAAGTGCTTTTTCTTTTGAAGGCAAGTTTTTTATTAATAGAGTAGCTTGTACACAATGAATAGCTTCACGAACAAATGGTGGTTTAGATAACCTAAAGTATTCTGCCAGAGTCAAAAGTGTTTTATAATTTAATAAAGCATTTGAAACACAATCGAAATCCATATAACTTATTTTCACTTAGTATAAATTTGAATACTGTTTTTTAAATGATCGCAAACTTCTCCCAAATTTTTGAAGTGAGACTTTGAAGATCAATCAAATTATATAAAGTTTTTTATATTTTTTAATTATATCATTAGGTATTTCTTTTTTGTGACTTGTAATATGACGGAATCTATAAAGGGATTATCGTTCTTTGAGAATGACTCAGATTCAGAATGACTTTTAGATTCTTGATAAAACGCAGACCTAGAAAATTATTGTTAGAATTTGTAGGACTATCAAAATACCATAACTTTATTTGAGTCTGCGTGTTATTAAAAGTTCAAAATCTTACTTGAATCGTCTAAAAGAACGCTAACTAATTCTAATTAAACTAATTCTAACTAATCGTCTAAAAGAACGCTAACTAGGTTATTATTTATATTTTAATAAGCAACACAACTTGTTGGACCAACGTTAGAGCAACGTCGGACAAACGATTCCAGCAGTTGTCACCAGCTGTGGTTCAAACCCCACCTTTGGGCAAGTTTTGCGACACCGGTTAGGAAGAAGGCGTGGCCTTCCAATTAAATGCTCATCCACGGTGCTCTATAATAAAACTGTAGGTCCTACAGTGAAATGAAAGGTTGCTTCCTCAAGAAGTCCCTACAGTGTAGGGACTTCTTGGGGCCCCTAAATGAAAATTAAAAAAAAGAAGTTATTCTAACGTAACGAAATTTTAAATATTTTTACATTTTTTATATTTATATGTTTTATATATACTATTCAATATTATTTTATATCACAATATACATTTAAATATTATTAATATTCAAATACTTATTATGATACGCCAGTGGTGTATCATAATAATTTACGAATTTCATACGAATTTCAAATTTCATACAATAACCTCTTAGCTTTTAGTTTTTATGACCCTACAAAGTTTACAGCCCCCTCAAATTGAGGGGGGTTAAAACTTTATATGGTCATAATTTTCGAAAAATAATAAACTATTGGATGAAATTTGAAATTTGTTGATGAATATAAACTTAGATAAAAATACTGAAAAAATTATTTTATCAACTTGTTGCTCCCACGTTAAGGGCTGGGTGGGCCCAAAAATTTGGGTTTTTTTGTCCCCAAGCTATTATCACCGCAACTCTTTGCAAAACATTCTCATTTGACATAAGTATAAACATACAAAAGTTTGGAGTTTGCACAATACCTGTAAGTGTCAAAACTCATCTAAAAGTCTAGTGTACATCACTGTACACCCTCCCCTAACTACCCGTGTGTATAGCGGAACTCAAGTCAAAAATAGGTACCTATATTGAGTTATTAGGATGTATGGGGGTTTTTTATGAAAAATAGCAGGTAGCAAAAAAAAAAGGTTTTTGCTGATGTCTGAATATAGAAAAAAGTCTCAGCATTCCTTCAATATATACCTGATGCACAAACAACAAGGAAGTTTTAAACAACAATAAATTCATTATAAAAGAAATGTTTAAAATAATATTTCCGTGCAGAATTAAAGATAAACTATTCTAGTACACAAAAAAATTCTATGTTGATACAAATTTCCAAAAAATAACACAGCAAAACATGTTCATATCATGCTTCTTTTAAAAATTCAGAAAAATGCATGGCACAAAATTTAGACGAAGAAAACGGTTCAGTAAGGTTGGATTAACGCGTACCTAATTAAATGTTGTTTTTATGATTCAAAATATAACAAAAATACAAACATTAAAAATGCCATAAAAAGTTATACATTATATTTCATCGTTTTTAAAATAAACCATTTGATTTTTAAGTAAACAAAAATTGTCACTATATTTTTTTCAAGCATTTTTTGTTTAAAATAAGTTAAACCATCTTTACAAAAGCATTATTCTTGACGAATCTGCCAAATTGTCTTTACGTAAATATTATTGTCTATACATCTGGCTGTACTAGACATCCCAGAATTCCCGTTCGCTAAATTACAAGAAAATGGGCGAGTCGTACATCATTTGATTTGGGTTTTCTGACGGAAATTATGGAAAAATAGAATTCTTTAAATTTAGAGTTCTAGGTAAAAAACAAAAATATAGCTGAAATAATGAGCTCTGTAAGTAAGTCATGTGATGACAAATCCAAAATAGCTTATATTTTGGATTTGTCATCATATGAGCAGATTGACTTAATCTGCTCATGTCACATCACATGACACAAGAAATTTTTTTTTTATTTTTTGTTTATATTTTAGATGCTCCCAGAAGTCCTTATGATTTTATCACAGAGCATTGCGGAAGAGTATTAAACAGGAAGTTCACGCTTCCTTCCGTACCTATGTCGCTTGTTGGGCTAGAGCTGGCGTCGAACCTCGGATCTCTGGGTTCTGAGCCAGAACACTAACTACTACGCCACGGCTGCTAACTTAATACGCAGGTGATCACATCTGCTGATCAAGTCTCTTGTGGATTTTCCCTATATTAAGAAAATGCTAGGTAATATTTAATTAAATGGCTCATTATTTATTAAACACCTTCAAATACTTAAAAAACAATTTGAAGAGAGATTTTTGTACTTCATACATATCGAGCCAATTATTGCCTTCTATTTCAATTTTTTTACTTGTCAAATAAATGTAATGGAAATGGCCGCATGTATTGCAGATTTCGTTCAAAGGAAGATGGAAAAGCTAAAGTTAGAAACGTTAGACCTTAAGATTGATATTTTTTTAAAATCCATAATACTAAAGGATCTTTTGAATACAACGGACAGAGAAAAATTCTAAGTTTTGAAAAAAGCGGCATATAACATTAAATCATTATTTAGCTCGACATATTTATATTAATCATTGTTTTCAAACATGAACTTAATAAATTCAAGATCTCGACTAACCGATGAGTATCTTTATGATTATTTACTAACTATCGCCATAATATTATTAGGACTATCGCCATAACATTTTTTTATAAAAATATTTTCTTTTTTTTTGTGTTTTTTATTTACATAAAACCGTCATATTTTTGTGTATGTAATTTGAATAGTAATTTTATTATATTGAAACATTTTTTCTTATTATTTATTAATAAATTATAAATACAAGAAAAATTTCTTGTGTCACATGACACAAGAAATTTTTTTTTTATTTTTTGTTTATATTTTAGATGCTCCCAGAAGTCCTTATGATCTTATCACAGAGCACTGCGGAAGAGTATTAAACAGGAAGTTCACGCCTCCTTCCGTACCTATGTCGCTTGTTGGGCTAGAGCTGGCGTCGAACCTCGGATCTCTGGGTTCTGAGCCAGAACATATTTCATTAGAAATTATTTTTTTTATATATTTATAATTATTACAAGTGATTGTAGTCGGGCTATTGTCGCTTTTGACAATAGCCAGTCAATGTATTTATGCCAATAATACACAAAAAATTATCATATAAATTTATCTATAAATGTAAATCAGCAAAATATATGTGGTCGTTAAAATGTTTTGAACTGCAAAAAAATTAGGGGTTGATATTTGAAAATGAAAACGACAAATTTAAATCTAAATTAGTTTAAAGTTCATTTTTTTTTTAATTTAAATTTGTTTTAAAACACATTATGCTTTATTTAGTGGCTTAATTAATTAATGCAGTAAAGCATAAAAGTACCCGGTGGGAAATGAGCTAGCAACTAGCGAGCGACTAGCTAGCTTTAGAGAGATTTTCGAGCAATTTTTTTTTCTTATTTTATTTTTTCCTTTAAATGTCTCTAACATCTTTAAAAATTTGATTTTTAGTATTAAGTCTATTATATTTATGAGAATAATTAAACTTTAAACATTGCGATATTGTAGTAATGTGTCGCTAGCTACATATCGTAGCTTTGAAACTAGCTACAAAATATCTGCAAATCTATAGCTGGTTGGCAGCTACATATCAAATTTTTTAGACAGCGATTTTATTACGGTAAGGCTTAGGCTAAATAGCCAGTGGGTTTTTAGCTTATTAATCTAGCTGTCCTTGCATCCAAATCGCTGTCTTTATCTTTATAAATATCGATAGCTTTTCGCTAATTTAAAAAAACTAGCGATCCTCATGGCCATATCGCTGTCTTTATCGTTACGATTATAGGTAGCCATTCTCAAGCCAATTTTCCACCGGGTATTAAATATGGAAGTCAAACAAACTTTATCTTTAATCAAGTTAAAGAAAAGCCATTGAACAGTATTGTCAAAAGGACTTTTAATCCATCTATTTGATTAAATGATTTTGGATATTGACCAATTTTTAAAAAATAACGCATTGTACTGGTCAAAATATTATATTCGTTAAGCAAATCATAATTTTAAAATACATATTAATGTAAACAAGAGACATCTTTGGTTTCAAAATACACTTAAAAAATATGTCCTAAGATACTTTTTGTAACTGTAACAAGTTTTCCTAACATATCATATTTGTAACAAAAATGTTTCCTTAAATAGCGTTTCAATCAACTAGATTATTTCTTCACGTGTATAACTTGTGAAACGACTTGTGACATGTGTTGATATTTTATGGCTAATTTCTGATATTTTTCATGCATAATGCTGTATCGCCAAAATCCAAAACCAACATTTCATTGTTTATCATTTAGATTTCTGAGAAAGCTTTTTGATTGTTATTGAACCTGAAATATATGCCCATTACTGATTATTATATCATGTATTACAAGTATTATATGTACAATTATTACAAGCTATCATAACATCTAAAACACTTTTCGAAAAAGAATTCATAACATTTCCATAAACAGCAACATACAATATCATTTTTGAAACATACAACTTGTAACAGAAAATAATAGTTCCTAGTAGAAATTTTCAAAGTAGAAAAAAAAAAAAAGAAGAAGAAGATTGTTCTTTGCAATTTTAGAATAAACTAAAAATCTTTCTGAGAGGGAAATTGTAAAAAATAATATTTTAGTTTAACCTTTTTGAAGTTTTGGTGCCAACCAGATTATATACTAAAGTGTTTTATCCATTATCCACGCTAAACGTTTTATCCATTTTTCAACCGATTTTGACTAAATATTGATCAATTCTGAACCAATCTGTGTTTACTGGGTGACAATTTTAGAAATTTTATTTTCGAATCAGTTTAAGTAACTTTTGCACGTGACATTTTTATCAAGAAGAGCATTAAAAGACTTTATTCTCTTTTGGTTTTATGATTTCCAATTCGAATATTTAGAAGTTTT